CAGTTGGTCTATCAAAATCCCTTTGTAGTTCAGATTTACAGGGCACTGGGGAGACGGCATCTCGAGTTCTGTGTACAGTACTGGTCACCATACTTAAAGAAGAATGATAATACTATGTTCAGAGAAGGTTTACTATACTAATGTATAGTATACGAAGGTATACTAATACCTGGAATGAGCGAATGAGGAAAGGCTAGTCAGGCTAGGCGTGCATCCTCTGAGGTTTTGAAGAGTTAAAGGTGACTTACTCAGAGTCATATAGCATGGAAACAGACCCTTCAGTCCAATTCATTTACGCCGATCAAGTTACCCAAACTAAACTAGTTCCACTTGCCTGCTTTTGGTCCCAATCCATCTAAATCTTTCCTATTCATGTAGCTATCCAAATGTCTTTTAAATGTTGTAACTATACCTGCATCTACCACTTTGTCTGGCAGTTCATTGCACTTACGAATCACCCTCTGTGTGAAAAGCTTGCGCCTCAGATCCCTTTTAAATTTTTCTCCACTCACCTTAAAAATATGCCCTTTAGTCTTGAACTCCCCTAGCGTAGGGAAAAAACCTTTGCTATTCACCTTATCTATGCTCTTCATGATTTTATAAACCTCTATATGGTCACCCCCTCAGCCTCCTATGCTACTGGTAAAAAGTTCCAGCCTATCCAGCCTCTCCTTACAACTCAAACTCTACAGTCCCAGCAGCTTTCTTGTAAATCTTTTCTGACCCTTCTCCAAATTAATAACATCCTTCCTATGGCGGCGGGCGGGCGGGCGGGGGGGGGGGGGGGGGGGTGGATGAGAACTATACACAGTACACCAAAAGTGGCCTCACCAACATCCTGTACAACTTCACAGGTCTGAGCAATGAAGGCAGGTGTACTAAACACCTTCTTAACCATCCTATCTACCTGTGACACAACTTCCAAAGGACCCTAGGCCTCTCTGTTCAATAATATTATCTAGGGCCCTACATGAACTATATAAGACTTGCCCTTGTTTGTCCTACCAAAATGCAAAACATTGCATTTATCCAAATTAAACTTCATCTGCCACACCTCAGGCCAAGATCCAAAGGGGATTTGACCAGATGGATGTGGAAAGGATGTTTACTCTTGTGGGATAATTTAGAAATAGGAGTCATAGTTTAAAATTAACAGCTCATCAATTAAGACAGAGATGAGAAAACATTTTTTCTCTCAGAGGATTGACAGTCTTTGGAATTCCCTTCCTCAAAAGGCAATGGATGCAGAATCTTCATATATTTTTAATGCAGAGGTAGATAGATTCTTGATTACCAAGGGAATGAAAGATTATCAGGGTATGCAGGAATATAAAATTGAGGTTAAAATCAGATTAACCATGATATTACTGAACGGCAGAGCAGTCTCAAAGGACTGAGTGGCCTACTCTACTTCCTTGTTTGTATGTTCATATTTAAAATTGATAAGACATCAGGAACATGTAAGAAGCATCCAAGGATGTTAAATGGAGAGTGGAAATTATACAGACACCGACAACACTCTTCCAATCTACTTTGGATTCAGGGGTAGTGCCATATACTTTCAATTTATGCTGTACTTGTTGTTTACATGTAGTACCACTGGGGACACCAAACACAGTGGGGAAGACTACTTTGCATAATACCACTGCTAAATCTGCAAGCATGATCCTGAACTTCCAGTGGCCTATCATTTTAATTCTTCACATAGCTCACTGGTTGACATATTCGTCCTCGGCTTGTCCAAGTGAAGCTAATAATAAGCTTGAGGAACATCATCTCATCTTTTCAGTAGGTACTTTATAGCCTTCTAGGTATCCAGAGGACATATTTAATATTTTTCAGAAGCAAAATCGCATGAATGAGCTTATTTGAGATATGAGAATGCACCCACTGAAAGGATGGTGGAAGCTGATTCAGCAGTAACATTCAGAAGAGAATGCATAATACTTGAAGGGAAGAAGTTTACATGAGTACAGAGAAAATGTACAGAAGTAAGTCAAATCAAATCACCACCAAAGAGCCAGCACAAGCTTGTTTGTCTGAATGGCTGCATCATCTACAATTCCAAAAATGAAAGCCAAAGAAGCACTTTATTGTTCTCCCAGTAATTCTGTAACTCTCCCAGTCCAGAGTGAGGGATATACTTGCCTGCAGTTCCTACACATACCTATCAACTCACTCTTCAAAATGACAGAATGGGAAGTTCCCAAGGACTTAACTCAGCTGCGTGCAACAGAAATGGATTCCCACATTAGGTCATCTCTTCCATGAAAGCCACAACATCTGCTTCCACAAACTAGATGACAAGTTTCACCCCACCAACATGACCACAATGCCAAGCCCAAATGCAGAAACAGATTCATAACCATGCAATACTTTGTAGATTTTGGTGAAGCTAACCCTGATTAACACTTCCTCTAGTTCTAACTTCCGCACTATTTTTACCTCTGTAACAACAAAATCCCTGAATGATATCTGGAAATATTATCTATGCCAAACCATCAACAATAAAGGAATAACAAAATGCATCAAGTCAGAAACTAAGTTCCATGGCAACAAAATGCAGGAAAGACAATTCAAAATCATACACAAATTCTAACTATCCATAGTAGAAAACTAGAAGCCAAATGAGCAACACCCACAAGTATCCCATTATACTCCAACATCCAACAATTGTGGATATCATTATGAGAAATCACCAGAACAGTGACTTATCATTCTAGAAGACCCAAATCAATGTTTGTTAGGGCTTTTGACTGGTTAGAAAAGTCCCCCACTCAAACAACAAGCAGACTAGCATGAATCTCAGTATTAGTTGTAGAAAAATATATCCACTCTCTACGAGAGAGTGCAATCTTAACCACAACAAGCATGTGGCAACTTTCTTCACACTCTGGAGCAAGTAACACCTGGTTTATACCCTGGATTTGGGAAAATATCAGAGAGCGAGGGGTTCACTTTTGGTCACCTTCCTCAAACAATTAATCTATCTACCATCTGCAGCACCAAACCTGCAATTTAAGTCTACTTGGTTGTCTTCAAACCCAACTAATCCCAGAATTCAAGCCTCAAACTCAGCTTCAGCCTCCTGAATCACAGTTTTCAGGGTTCTAAGAACAATATAGAGTCAGAGTCAGAGATGTACAGCATGGAAACAGATGCTTCAATCCAACTCGTCCATGCCGACCAGATATCCTAAATAAATCTAGTCCCATTTGCCAGCATTTGGCCTGTATCCCTCTAAACCCTTCCTATTCATATACCCAACATATGCCTTTTAAATGTAATTTTAACCTCCTCCACCACTTCCTCTGGCAATTGATTCCATACACACACCACCCTCTGTGTTAAAAAGTGCCCCTTAGAACCTTTTAAATCTTTCCCCTCTCACCTTAAGTCTATGCCCACTAGTTTTGGGCTCACCTACCCTTGGGAAAAAATCTTGACTATTCACCCTATCCATGTCCCTCATGGTTTTATAAACCTTGATAAAGTCACCCCTCAGCCTCCGATGCTCCAGAGAAAATAGCCCCAATATATTCAGCCTCTCCCTATAGTTCAAACCTTCCAACCCTGGCAGCATCCTTGTAAATCTTTTTTTGCATTTGTAACAGAAGTACATTGCTCCTGAAGGAATCATGTGGAAGCACATTATTAAATATCTAAATATAAATGATACTATGAAACATTTCAGTAAGTGTACACTTAGTCATGCAATGGCATTTATAAAGAATGTCGAGTTTAACTGAAGCATTGTAAACTGCAAAACCAGGGACCAGATGTAGCTTTGTGGGCTTAGAATGGGCAGCTAGTTTATTCAGCTGGCACAGACACAATGGGTTAAATGGCCTCTTTCTGTGGTTGTAACATTTCTACAGTTCTACGGCTTCTTAAAATATGAGTTGCCACCAATCATAAATCAAATGCACAACTTTATACCTTACATGTATGTGAAACTAGTAAAGCCTTGCTACAATCATACAAAGTATTGGTGAGACCACATCTAGTGATAAGCATACAGTTTTGGTCAACTTACATGAGGAGAGACATATTTCCATTGTGCGAAATTTTGAGAAGATTCACGAGACTGATTCCTGGACGTTTCTCTTATAAAGAAATGTCAAGCAGCTGAGCCTTACTCATCGGAATTTAGATGATCTTACTGAAATATACAAGAACCTGAGGGAAGTTGATAGGGTAGAAGCTGGGAGGATGGTCCCTCCCATAGGGAGTTCTCATTTAAGATGGAGGTGGGAGGATATTCTTCTCTCAGAGGACGATTAATCTTTGGGTTTCCCCCACCCCACCCACCGCCCCAACAGAGAGCATTGGAGGCTGAGTCATTAAATATGTTCAAGGCTGAGTTAGACAGAGTTTTGACTGATAATGAAGTGCAAGGTTGGGCGAGGACAGACAGGCAAGGAAGGGGACTGAAGGCCAAAATCAGATCAGCCATGATTTTATTGAATGACAGAGCAGACCCAAGGGTCAAAGTTGCCTATTTCCATTCCCTTTTCCTATATTTTTAGAAGTAAATGTATTATAACTTCATAAAAATATCTATAAATGCAAAAAAGAAAGCAATAACTTGTGGTCATATAACACCTTTGACATAATAAAACATTCCAAGGTGCATTCTAAACAAAGATCAAGGGGCCTGAATTAAACCTGCATAATTGAAAGTTTAAGGCAGATTGCATGAACAATTTTTTCATCAGAAGACTGGGTGCATACTGGTATTATGGGCAAAGTAGTGAAAGCAAAAACTGAATTTTTTTTCAAATGACAGTTAACTAACATGATGGAAGGAATGTAAGGTTCTGATTCTCAGCAAATGAACTATGATGAGAAAAAAAAAACCCTACTCATCTGTACCTATCTTTTAAGCTTGTATCTTTAGCAACATATCTGCAATTTTCAAGTTAAAATTTAGGTAAGTGCACACATAAGTATAACACAGTCAAAAATTAACTCATTCTTGATAGACTATTTAGACATACCTTGTATCCAGGTCCTAATTGATGTATTGCAAATATCTGCGCTGGATTAAGTGCTTCAGTGAACACAAACACTGCTCCAAGCTGACCACAGAATACTCTATTTGCATCTGCAGTTTCTGATGAACCCAGGAAGCACTTATCAAAGCTCTACATAAGGAAAACAATGACAGTAAGTCCCCATTTATAGCAGACTCAGTTAACATTGACTTTGCTTTTTTTTAAAATTCATTCAGGGATACAGGTTTTGCTGGCTGGGCCAGCATTTATTCCATATCCCTAAATACCCATAGAAGGTGCTGGTGAGCCACCTTCTTGAACCACTGCAGTCCATTTCGTGTAGCTCCGCACAATGCTAAGAGGGAGAGAGTTCTAGGATATTGATCCAGAGACAAATATGGAACAGTAATATATTTCTAAGTCAGTATGGTGAATGGCTTGGAGGGGAACTTGCAGTTGATGGCATTCCCATGTACCTGTTGCACTTTCCTTTTAGATGGCAGTGGTTGTGTGTTTGAAAGGTGTTGACCAAAGAGCCTTGATGAATTTCTGCAGTGCCGTTACTGTGCAATGGTGGAGGAGGTAGTGAATGTTTGTGGATGCAATGTCAATCAAGCAAGCTGCTTTTGCCTCGATGCTGTCAAGTTGCTAGTGTGGTTGGAGCCTCATTCATCCAGGCAAGTGGGGAGTATTCCAGTGATGCACCTGACTTGTAGATGATGGACAGACTTTGGGAAGTCAGAAGGTGGGTTACTTACTGCAGGCTTCATAGCCACTGATCTGCTATTGTAGCCACAATATTTATAAGGCTCATCTGGTCCAGTTTTTGTTCAAATGTAATCCCCAAGATGTTAATTATGATGGATTCAGTGATGGGAATGCCATTTAATGTCAAAGGGCAATGGTTAGGTTCACTCTTGTTAAAGATGATCGTTGCCTGGCACTATGTGGTTCAAATGTTTGTCACTTTTCAGCCCAAGCCTGGGTATCATCCAGGCAACGTTCCCACTAAGCTGCCCGCAGCACTCCAAGGTTTCACATACAGTGACCCTCAGTTTCAGAAGCTGATGCCACACACACCTCAGAGGTCTTTCCACCAAAATCATTTAGAGGGAGCATTGTATCTAGGTCTAATTGCATATGGATATGGACTGTTTCAGTATCTCAGAAATTGCAAATGTGGCATAACATTGTGCAATCATCACTAAACATGCCTTTATGATGGCTTCAACATTGTTAAAGAAAAGTGACAAGACATTCTTGATTAACATTAGAATTTCAGTTTAATATTACTTGGTACAGACATCCTGTACAATGTGCGCGCTCTCAACACCTCTTTACCGTGGTTCCAATGTCACACTCAGTCCCCTGGTCTTCCTCCTGTTTTCATCCCACATGTCGCTCCTCACCCTCGTCATTTACAAACTACCCTGCACCCAAACTCATTTTTGCCCTCTGTTCTTATCTTTAAAGACTCATTTAACTGCTGCTCTGAACTTGCACTGAGGTGCTGGGGTCCATTTATTGGAAGAAGTTGGCAAGTACAGGTAATCCCAACAGCCAATTTCAAACACTAAATAGAGTCTGGTCAAGTAAAAATTCATCAGGTGAGTTTATTTTTAAATAAAAGCAAAGTGCTGGAGAGCTCAATGCATGTCAGAAGAATAACGTCTCATTTTCCACCGATGCACTTTACAACCTCTGGAAATACTGAGTTCCACAGCATGACCTCTGTTCTCCATTATTTTACATTTTACCCCCGGTCCCATCATCAACCCCCAACTTCTCCCTCCTGTGTCTTATTTGCCAAGCAAATAAAATGTCCACAGGACCCTAAATCTGGGTTTAAAGTGGATTTCTATGAGAAACCATGCTTGACTTAAAGTCGCAATTTTCAGGAATGCAATCAAACACAAGAATAAATGTTAATGCATTTTGAGCCATGCATATAAATTTTGTTTAGAAGATTACATTCAAAATCAATTAAAATTACGATGCCAACAGAACCAAACTGGTCATTGTGAAGTATCAGACAATCATACAGCACAAGAGGTCATTAGCCATCATACCTATGCTCATTCTTTGAAAGAGTTATCCAATCAGTGAAATTCTGCTGCTCTTTATTCACAGTATCAAAGCTTTCTCAAGAATACAGCCTTCTCCTTTTCAAGTAGGTATCCAATTCCCTTTAGAAAATTACTAATATATCTGTTTGTGCCACTCTTTCAGATAGTTAATTCCAGATCATTATAACTTACAGCAATAAAAAATTCTCACCTTTCCTCTCATTCTTTTGCCAATTATTTTAAATCTAGGTGCTCTGGCCACTGACCTTCCACGCAACTGAATTCTTTTTTTGTTTATTCCATTAAACCCCCTTTGATTAGATAGATAGGCATGAGAACAGGTTCCACTGTTGCCTGAAATAATTGAACTGTATAATTTTGATACAGTTTTAATTCATCCTCTTTGCACCTATCTCAGACCTGATTCAACATCTTCAACCCCAACAAACAAACGCATTGTTGTACTGTGTTACAGAAGTTAGAATTCAGGCATCAAAACGTGAAACAACTGCAAATAATATTTATTCACTATATCATCCATTACATAGCACCCTATTTTAAAGTAAATAGTATCTTTGATTCTGAGAATTTGTGAAATGTAAGTCCTTCTGAAAACACTAACAAGAGGCAACATGATAAAAATAAGAAGCCTGATGTAATCTGAACTCCTATGTTCTAACTATGATTTGCTCAAATCCATACTTGCTCACACACCCGGTAAAATATTGTCATTAAAACTGCATTAAACTTACATCATTAGTGTTGACATGCCAAGCCATATCTCCATAGGAAACAAGCTGACCATTGACATAACAACGAATTTCGCTATTTCTCCAGCGATTGTAGATATGCACAATGCTGATCATGTACCACTGAAAAATAACATAAGAATTACTCATCATCAATGAAATGTGACAATTGCTCAATTTGAGGAGTAATAATCTATTCTTTTCAATTTGCAAAGTAGTGAGTTGTTGCAAACAAGCATTTCTTATATCAATAACAAATAATCAATAAACAAATATCAATCACAATGAATACTTACACCTGTCCTTTAAGTTTACGTTACATGTGTTAAAAAGAACAGTTTCAAATACTTATTGTACTTAACAGCAGGTTGGCTTGGACTCGGCCATTCATTAAGAGATACAGCCCTGCACTACTACTAACTTTCAAAAATAGAGAACTTGTACTTATCCTTCAGAATATCCTTATTGTCTGTAAATCCTGAGGCAAGAACTTTTTAAGTGCTGAAAATATAACAGCCAATTTGCACAAAGCAATGATCCACAAGAGCAATGAAATAATTACCACTTAACCTGACTTAGTAACACTTGTCGAAAAGTGAATATTAGCTCTGACATTATAGAGAATTCTACTAATTAGTGCTATTGGACCTTTCATTTTTAATTTAAATGGTGCAGAACTTCTTTAGTACATCAGTGAACTGTCAGCTAAAGTCATTGGAGGGGAATTTGAATCTACAATAGTCAGACTTACAGACAAACCTGAAACTTTGTCAACTTGTATTTTGTTACACCAAGCACCAGAACAGATCATGCAAATTTACATTAGAAATATCTGAAGCACAGTAGTTTGTGAAAACACATAAATACTGAACCCAGGCTTCCTAGTAATCATGAACTAGCTTCAAAAAGTCATCATACAAATTTAAACCTTTAATATAAATCACAGAATGTAGTGAAAAAGATGCATTGTATCAACAGTGTTTAACAAAAATATACTTTTTAACACAGTGGCATTTGTGTTCCACAAAATATTCTCCTGTGTGTTAATATTAATCATTTCATGGACTGACCTTTCTCGGTTGAAAATCATACTTTACACAATGCTGGAAACCTTTTCCTTTCGATTTCAATGATGTTATAATCAAACAGTTTCCAACAAAATGTGCTGAATAGCCAACTCCTTTGCTTGTTCGAAAGCTGCAAATTAGATAATACCACAATATTGTATGTCTTCAAAAAAATACATTTGTTGCAGGTAAATCATGGTTCATGAGATACATTTCGAAACAATGTTAAATTAATACAACCCAGTTTTATAATTAGGATGAATCATTCTAAACACATCTTCAATTTTATCTGAATCATAGAAAGATGCAAAGCAAAAACCATTAGTTTGTTCAGAGATAGCAAGAACTGCAGATGCTTTTTTTTTAAATTCATTCACAGGATGAGTGCGTCATTGACCAGGCAGCATCCATTGGCCATCTCTAATTGTCAGTTAAGAGTCAACCACGTTGCCGTGAGTGTGGAGTCACATGTAGGCCATGCCAGGTAAGGATGGTAGTTGCCTTCCCTAAAGGGCATTAGTGAACCAGATGGGTGTTTCCTCTGATAATCGGCAATGGATACATGATCATCCTTAGATTCTTAATTCCAGACATTTATTGAACTCAAATTCCACCATCTGCCGTGGCGGGATTCGAACTCAGGTCCCCAGAACATTATCTGGGTGTCTGGATTAACAGTCCAGCAATAATACCACTAGGTCATCGCCTCCCCTTAGTCAGATGCACACAGTATGGAGCTGGAGAAACACAGCAGGTCAGGCAGCATCAGATGAGCAGGAAAGTTGACATCTTGGTTCGGGGCCCTTCTTCAGAAACGGGGTGGGGGAAGGGAGCTGGGAAATAAATAAAGAGAGGAGAGGTGGGGCTTGGGAAGGTAGGTGGGATGCTGATAGATGAGTGCAGGTAGGGACTGGTGGGGATTGATCAGTGGGGTTGCGGGGCAGATGGGTGGGAGAGAAGATGGACAGGTTGTGTCAGGTCAAGGAGATGGGGAAAAAAGGAAGGGTTAGACATGGGATGAGGTCGAGGGTGGGGAGATTTTAAAACTGGTGAATTCCATGTTTAGGCCTTTGGGCTGTAGACTCCCAAGGTGGAATATGAGGTGTTGTTCCTCCAGTTTGCGGGTGGTGTCATTGTGACATTGGAGGAGGCCCAGGATCGACATGTCACCCAGGGAGTGGGAGGGGGAGTTAAAATGGTTGGCGACTGGAAAGTGTTATCATTTGTAGCATACAGAGCGCAGATGCTCTACGAAAATGGTCTCCAAGTCTATGCTTGGTCTCACCGATGTGGAGGAGGCCACATCAGGAACAATGGATACAGTAGACCAAGTTGACGGGTATGTAGGTGAACCCCTGTCTAATATGGAAGTTTTGTTTTGTGCCTTGAATGGAGGTGAGGGGGTAGATGTAGGGACAGGTGTGGCACTTCCTGCAGTTGCAGGGAAAGGTGCCAGGAGAGGTGGGGTTAGTGGGGAGTGTGGAGCAGACAAGGGAGTCGCAGAGAGAGCAGTCCCTATGAAAGGCAGATAGGGGTAGGCAGGGAAATATCTCTTTGGTTGTGGGGTTGGATTGTAGGTGACAGAAGTGGCCTCTAAACTTGTCCCCCATAATACAGGAGGTGGGTAAGTCACCCCCTGGGCTATTCACCCTCAGAACTACTAAGACACGTTATTGCCCAATGAGTTGGCAATTAAAGGTTTCAACCTGCCTTTACTATCATAAACCCTGGGCAGTGGCAAGAAGGCCAGAATGCAAAGGGTGTTTTTGAAAAGTCTTCTCTCAAGAGTTTGGAATGGGCTGCTTCTCAATCAAAAGACACCTTGAATCTGACTAATTAAGGAGACACGCTTTTGCTTATCCTGTTCACACATGTCACACAACTGTCGTGGAGGGCTCTGCACTGAAATGGATTTCTAATCACAAGCGCTGTTAAAAAAAAGTCCAAGTGCAAATATATTACGAGAATGGAGTGGCATTTGGTTGCATCCTGTGAATTACTTTTTCTTAAAAAAATCTTGAACTTCCTATAGCTTTAGACTTCAATTTCCTCCTGCCGATCTTTCTAAGCTACCATTTTATTTTGTTTCAACCAAGCTCAATGCATGGTTCAAGAACAGCTTTCCATATGTCTATTGACCACCCCTGGTTGCAACATCCTGCTCCAAGTATTGCCTTCAGCACCTTCAAATCTTACATCTTCATTTTCTCATCAGTTCTTTCTTTCACATTCCATTGGATTTTGTGGTAATATTGCACGTATCTATGATCAGGGCAAACATGAATCTTTAAAAGAGCCAAGTTCGATAACATAACGGGTCATATTGTGACATCATGCCATGTGACATTATGCAAAGGTACCAGCTTTACTATCAGTAACTGTCAGAGTACACTGGTATCCATCAGGGAAGTCTGCTGGTCAATCAACCTCAAGCCTAGACCACACTGATGTTTGCAATAGAGTAGGAATGTATTTAGTTGTTTTTGCGAATAAATCTTCTGATCATCATTCAGTAAAAAAACCCATCTCTGTTCATAATAACTGACATAATAACATAAGACATCAGGTTTTATTCTACTTTCATATTTGCATTCACTTTCTGACTTTTCATCAATTTTAATGGGATGAGGCATTTTATTTTTATTGTTTATCCATAACTTTTCACCACTGTCAATCTCCTCTATTAATATCAGGAGTTATAAAATAAGTTAGTAATTTCTTGCAACAGCGCTTAAGCAGTCTTAGTTTTATGTATTATATGCTCTTCCTTTCCCCTCAGTGTTTTGCCAATCTCAGGGAGGGCTGGTCTGCTTTCATCAATTAATCTGATGATGGGTGTCAATCAGAAATATTAACTTCCTTTCTTTCAAGGTCATGAAGCAGCTGCTGTATGTATGCATGATTTTCTGCTTGGAATTTTGTTTTTAAATATAACTGCTTCATTTGTCATAATTATTACTTTCACAACATGCTACATTCTTTGTCCAAATTAGTTCTGAGGAAATAAAGAGCAATGTATACAATTTAATTCTCTTCAATAAACTCACTATACAAGGTGGTATCTCTCTAACTGAAAGCTCAGAACAAGAGCTAATTAAATAAAAACAGTGTTGGAGAAACTCAGCAAGTCTGGCAGCATCTGTAGAGAGAGAAAGAGTTGATTTTTCAAGTCCAATAAGTAAGACAACTTATGGATATTATATGAGACAATAAGGTGCAGAGCTGGATGAACACAGCAGGCCAAGCAGCATCATAGGAGCAGCTCCTATGATGCTGCTTGGCC